ATACAATCAAAACATAGGTGCAAACAACGACAGGTTTGAGGTCAAATGCAACTAATCAAGATCGAGGTTAGAAGAACAAGCTACAGGTCAAACGTGGAGAAATTTGAACACTTCACTTCCATTTGAAGTTTATTCTGATGATGTTGTTCAGAAGAATAATGAAAACTTCACAACCAAAACATCCAGCTGAGGGAAAGAAACACCACTACAGTCATCCACCTGAGCTACAAATTTTCTTCAACATCTGAAAATACATATTAAAAAAGAATTGAAGTTTGAAAACAATATTTGTTATTGATTACTTTTATGGAAACAGTCTTCGTTTCATCGAACGTATCGTAAGTAGGAGGCAAGAAAATAAAGGATGCTTATACTATACTGTTTATTAAGTAAAATAGCATACATGACTGTTTCAATTTCATTGTCAGGATTAAATAAAACGTGCATTAGTATGATCAATAGAGTATGGTAATAGATTCAAGTTCACTCAGCGGTTAAACTGCAAAACGTAGCTTATCATAAATATAGAGTTAAGTGATTTTAAAAAACCGTCTCTTTAAAATAATTAGAATTTGTGCTAAAATTATAATATAAGATCTCATTAAAACATCAGAAATTATTGGTAATGTTAACAAAATAATTTTGGTGATTAATTTTGTTTTATTGAAAGTAGCCTGGTAGCACTGAGTGGTCGTTTCGTCCTACTATAGGACTCATCAAGACTGCGCATCCAAGACCTCCGAAAGTGGAAATCAAACCAAGGACCTTCGGTCTTGCACGAGAATACTTAACCTTTAGTTGAGTTACATACTAGGAAGAAACACATGTCCAGTGCTTTCAGGTTTCTCTCTAACAGTGGCCTAACAGTGACTGATTTATGGTTTCAATAAAAATCAACAGTCTCCGAAACCCTATACTGAAAGCTGTTTAAAACAGTATGTAACCAAAATTTAATCAAAACACATATGCATGATAGTATGTTAAGATTTTGGGATGAAATAATCAGTAGAAGTTTTCAAAACAATTAACCAACAAATATACCAATAAGAATTTGGAAATCTTTTTGAGAAACTGATATGCTTGAAACTATTACAAGTTCACATTACTCAGTAAACGGAGCGCAGATAAATGATGCAGTGACATGATAGGCTATATTAATTCCCATTGTCCCACGCTCGCTAGCTAGTTCAAAAAGTCTTAATAAGGCGTAGAGAAGGTATTATACAGGCATTCAGAAAGATTTTGGCTTCTAAGCATGCAAATGAGGCTTATCAATACAACAAAAGCAACGTTCTTGAGAGAGCCACAAAATAGAGTACTAAAATAATACATCAACCAATGACAGTCAAATATTTTCCGAGTGGGAAATTTAAGCTATATGTCAACTAAGCGTCTCTTGGTACGAAAATATATAATAACAAAATTAAGATCTTTTCCAAATGAGTTCTGGGAATCTAACATCCTCAACAGTAATTGAATCAAACAAATATACATAAAATGAATATGAAATAAAATATATTATTGACTTTTTTTACATTAACTTATAAATGTATTCTTCAGTTGAACTGTTGAGTTACTTTTTAACAATTAAAACTAGTAATAATAACAATAATAATGATGATAATAATATGCTTTTTGTTCATTAGATTGGCATTTTAGTTTCTCTTGTGAACAAATTACATTTTGCTACTAGTTAGATGTGCGTATATACGGGTTTTTTTCATGAACCTGCTTTCACGTTGATATGAGTTTTTATTTTATACCATTTTATTGATTGTTAAACTACGCGCAGTGGATTACATACTCATTCATGTAATCACTGCATTGAGTGCTTACTAACTAGAAGTGGTAGTTATGCTTATCTCATATAGTCTAGAAAAAATCCAAAGTCAATATTTAACCTATCAGTGTTAGACCAGCATTAGAAAACTGGAAGCACTAGACGGCCGCTTTTCGTCCTAGTATGGGACTCATCAGTGGCAGTGAGCATCCACGACTCATGCATCTCGCAGGGTTCGAACGCGAGACTTTCGGTCTTGCGTGTGAATGCCTAACCTGTGGACCACTGAGCCGGTACCTAACGGTGTCAGGGTCTAACTTCAATCAGTTCACGAAGTTGCGCAACCTCATACACTGTATTCGTTAGTTACTGTCTACACCCGAACAGGTTGAACTTCACTGGTTACGACTTCCTACTAGAACTCAGAGAAGAATTTGAGATGGTGGAGAAAATTTATAGCTCAGGTGGATGATTGTAGTGGTGTTTCGTTCTCTGAGCTGGTTGTTTTGATTGTGCAGCTTTCATTGTTCTTCTGAACAACAACATCATCAGCACAAACTTCAGATAGAAGTGAAGCATTCGAATTTCTCCACGTTTAACTTGTAGCTTTTTTTGCTAACCTCGATCTTGATTGGTTGTTGTTGGCCTTAAACCTGTCGTTGTTTGCACCACAACCAAAACATCGAGCTCAGAGAACTAAACATCACCACAATCGGTGAAGATTCCTCACGGAGCTAGTCACTGGTCAGCACAGGTAACTGCATTACCGGGTTGTGAAAATTTCAAATGTGTAACTTAACAATCTTCACAACCCCGTAATGCAATGCCTAATCTGCCTACAATTTCGTGAAATTCCAACGGAACTGCTGAGAATTTAATGAACGAGACAGTAGATAATAGGTAGTAGTAGTAGTAGTAGTAGTAGTAGTAGTAGTAGTAGTAGTAGTAGTAGTAGGTAGATACCTGTTTATTGATTGATGACACTCAGATATACACACACACACTTTACCAAAATAAATGCAATTATCTCTGACTCCCAAAATCTATCATCAACCAACTAATAGAATCTGATTCACAAACTAACTGACATTACTGACCTTAATTTATATTACCAATTTTTTTTCTTTCTAACTTTCTCTTTTGTAAGTTATTTAATTCACAGTTTCTTTCTTGTACAAAACTTATACAAAAATCACTTGACTAATTTCATGATTATTTTCATTTCACATTGTTTTACTGTTTTCTGTCAAATAAGAATACTTTTAATTAAATCTGTTTTTTTTCTTTAAAAAAAAATTTTGCATGACCTCTTTGAGTTAATTAAACACAGTATACTTTTATACTTCACATGCAATTGATGAAGACCCAAATAAAAATCTCCTTAAATTAAAAAAAAAAAGAAATTGTATAGTCTGTTGAAATGAAAAAACCATTTATTCGATAGAAAGAGACGTTTATTCATGCATGTAATGAGATGTTTATTTGTTTTGTTAAGTATATATAGAGAAGGTTAAGTATTCGGATTATTGATTGATTAATTATTTGAAATGGTATTGTTTAATTGAATTCATTTGTATAGATATATTTATATTCATTCATTCAATGTCCAATGTATTTGATCAAATTTCAATTATTTTTTTTTCTTTCGATGATTTATTCAAGTGACAATTTAATGAATGACTTTTGAACATTCAAAAAAGTAAAACAAACAATTTGAAATTTTATTGAATTGAATAAAAAGATTTTTAACCTAATGGAACTACTTTTTTCTTTTTTTCTCTGTAGATTTATGTTTAGGAGTATTCCAGGCCAAGAGAGATCAAGATCATCATGATAGTCGTTTGTAACTGTTTTCACAACATCTCAACAGTAGATGATTGGACTACAGGAAACAAGTTCAGAGTAGTCATGTTTGAAGATAAATAGTTAAAGATTTTTATACTACTAAAGTGTGCTAAAAAAAACTATCTTTTGTCTTCATGGTCTTTCAAGTTCGAAGGCTTAAATAAAAGACAAAAACTCTCTCGTCTGATGATTAAATGAAAATTATTTAAGGATATTTCAATAATGTTAAGGTCGAAAAGTGAATCTATATTTCTTCTAGTTGTATATAATATGGCGACTGAGTTAAAATTGATTATTTGTGAAATGCACAAACTATGTTAGAGAAGACTTAAATTTCATTAGTTAATTTTGACATGATGTTTCCTTGAAAGGAATAATTTATTTTCCTTTTTTTCACCAGACATTTTATGACTAACTATGAAAAATGATTCGATAATATCATGAATATAATGTATATTCAATAAGAATTTGACGATATTTATGTTATGCTCGTCAATTGATATGTTTGAATGCTATTACGAATTCACCTTAGTCGGTAAACGGGAGCGAAGACAAATGATCCAGTCACACGATAGGATACTGTAATCTGAGCGTCCCAAAGTAGATGAAGAATTCTTGACAAGATATAGAAAGTGTATTCTACAAGCAGCCAGAAAATATGGGGTACATCGACACACATATCGAGTTTATTTATACATGATAGAAACGTCCTTCGGAGAGAGCCACAAAAATAGCGTACTAAAATAATACACCAACCAAGAACGGTCAAGGATGTTTCCTAGTGGGAAACGTGATCTCAAGGTCAACTAATCAACTCATACTCGAAAACATCAAACCAAAAATCAGGATCTTTATCTAGTGAATTTTCTG